TTAGGGGGTTTAGGGTTTAAGGCTTTAGGGGGTTTAGGGGGGTTAGGGTTTAGGGTTCAGGGTTTGGGGTTTAGGGTAGGGGGTTTAGGGGGTTTAGGGGGTTTAGGGGGTTTAGGGGGTTTAGGGGGTTTAGGGGGTTTAGGGTTTAGGGTTTAGGGCTTTAGGGGGTTTAGGGGGTTTAGGCGGTTTAGGGTTTAGGGTTTTGGGTTTGGGGTTAACTGGAAAGAAAGGGAGGTTTGGGGGTTCTTTTCAGGCTTTAGGGCTTAAGGGCTTTAGGGGTTTGAGGTATGGGGTTTTAGGGTTTCGTGTTCAGGGCTTGAGCGCTTTGGGGTTTAGAGCTTTTAGGTTCAGGGTTTGACCTCCTGAGAACCCGAAAAAAAACGCGGTTCTTATTCCTAGGATCCTAGGTGACATGCAAAGGCGCATTTCAATCACTCGAGTCTAGGTAGAGTTTAGGGTTGTAGGGTTTACTCCTCCGAGGAGGGTTTAGGGCTTTAAGGTTTAGGGTGTGGGGAGGGTTTTATGGCTAAGGGCCTAAGTTCTGGGTTTACCTTGAAAGTCTTGCCCTACCTACCCCGTCTGGGTTTAGGGTCTGTACTTTTAGGATACCCAGTTTTATGATGCTTTGTGGTGAGGAACTGCTATGCATCGCTGCAGAAGCGAGGTCTGCAGACCCAGCGCCGCCTGAGAATAGTGCGAGCGTGGCGTTGCCGACGGATGCTCGTAACACCATGCCCCTAAACCCTAAACCCTAAACCCTAAACCCTCGTGATAGCCACCGTCAGCTGCCGCGGGAAGGCCACTGAATGGGCGAGCGCATAGACCAATGCCACCTCGCCTCGGGGGCCTGACCCCGGCTAGCCAGTCCTCGGATCCTTGCATGATACCCGCCACAGCGTTTTTGACAAATCTGAACGTCGCCCTGTCGGGCGACCCCGGGTGCGCGGTCAAGTAAGTACCCTCAAGAAGGGGAAGGGTATGCCTCAACGCGTGGGGCTTGAAGGTGTAGGGTTCATGATCTTGGGTATGACATTGGCATTGTTGACCACATCTTTTAACCTCTCGGGCATGATAATCCGCGAAACTGCGCAAGCCAAGCACTGCAACACCAAAGGATCATGCAGACTGGCAGTATGTTAACCTCTCAGATTATTGGCATTCGGAAGTGTTCAGGTGCTACTTACCAAGCTACGAACAAAGCCCAAATATCAAAGTCCAAAACCCTAAACCCTAAACCCCTAAACCCTAAACCCTAAACACCTACGAACAAAGCCCAGATATCAAAGTGCATGCGCTTGCCAACAAAATCGGCCAAGGATCCTTGGGTGGAAGAGTCACACCTCTTTCGCACAGCGGTGAAAGTTTGGGATTGGTTTATTCGGAGGATCTTGGGACTTAGTAAGTACGGTTACAAGTACCTTAATTGGGGTTAAAAGCAATTATAAGTCTAGTTATTTATAACCGCAGTTGCTAAGTCCCATGGTCCTTTAAGTAGTGTTTAGGGTTGAACGCTCAAGGTTGGTTTGGGGGTTAGCGTTTAGGGCACGGGATGCATGAGCTCAATTGGGGCCTCTGGGCATTTTAACTCTGATCGCCAGTTAATAAGGGGTGCTGACACTTAGGATAGGGGTTTATGCAAAGGAACCCAGAGGAAGATTGCTGCTACTTATTTCATCCGGTTTCCATATTATGCACTATACCAAAGTGCTCCCCAGCCCTTCGACGAAGCTCTCGACTGGAAACCCTAAACCCTAAACCCTCTTAGCTCCCACGTGTTATTGCCCTAAGCCCTCAACTAGCTAAGTTGTTACCCTAAGCCCTCTTAGCTATTCAGAAATCCAGCTCCTGGTTCAGGGTGTAGGGATCCAGGTGCCGAATACACCATCTACTCGCCCAATAGGAACCTAAACCCGAAACCCCAAACCCTGCCCCCTCAACCCTACCTAAGTACCTAAACCCGAAACCCTCAACCCTAAACCCTACCTATGTCCCTGAACCCTGAACCCTAAACCCCAAACCCTACCTAGATAATATAGGGGCCTGAATACTTAGAATAGGATTTTTTGGGGGGTCCTTGTTATGATTATAGTATGATCGATCTACCCCCAAACCCTATTCTAATTGTTAAGGCCCGTGTGTTGGCCTTTTCAGTTGCATTAGACTCATTATTAGACAGTCTGCCCCTTCTGGCGCATCAGCGAGCTTCAGATTCAAAAGGTTAGCTTTTTGGAAACCAGGCTTTGTGCACCATGAAACCCCCAAACCCCGCACTTAAGGGCTGTACCTTAGCTCTTCATGAGGCCCCCGTCTATGATTTAAGAAATTCGTCTTGGTTCCATGAACTTCCGAAATTGGGGACGTCAGGAGGCCTTGCCAATGCCTGCCACAGAGGAAGGGGACGTGCCTCTCCTCAATGGCTTTGGGTTTAGGGTTGAGGGCTTAAGGTTTAGGGTTTAGGGTTTAGGCTTTGGGTTTAGGGTTTAGGGTTTAGGGCTTATGGATCTGGGGATATGAGTTAAACCAGAGCCTCCGGTACTTCAGGGTCCTTGTGAATTGATTGAAGTTGTTGAAAATTCAGCTTCATGGCCCTCGGCCTCCAAGTTCGTGAGCCCATGAGCTTGCAGAATGTAAGGGTTTTTCAGGATGCTTTAGGGTTGAGGTCCTGTGTAGGGTTTAGCAACAATAACAGAGAAGCCACGTTGAGGAGCTTCGGGGTAAAGGCTGGCCTTTTGGCATTGTACATTTCCCCATATTGGGCCTAAGAGGATCTCTTTCTGCGAGCAGTTTCCAGGGGCTTTTTAAAGGAACAACCTACCCAGGGGCTCCGATGTAGTTCCCTTTCGGGTCTGTTATGGCTTTTTGGGTAAGGAGTTTATAGTATAATTTCCAAAAAGGAACTACATAGGAGCCCTTGGGTAGGGCTTAAGTATTTCAAGTTGGGGGTTTTCGGTCATCTGTACAGGCTTCTGTTTCAAGTCTGTCTTGGTGGCTTGTCGGATCTAGGAAACTTAGGAATGAAGTGTAGGGTGCCGGCATTTTAGAGACCTGTCCGGTAGCAGAAAAGGCTGTTTGGATGCATGCCGATCTTAATCTGACGGCTCCTCATTCGACGACCCCGAAAAAGCGGACAAGGGTGCCAATCGTGGGCAGCCTGAAGAATTGCCGTCGATCATCCTTGAGATCAAAAATAGTCGCTCAAATTGCTTCCAGAGTGAATGAATGCGCACAGGCCCATTTCCAAATTTGTCTCTATAGCATAGAATAACACATTCCAAAGCCCTATTCTACAGTCGCCCTCCCGTTTTTCAAACGTCTTCTTTTCTAGTGGGTCCTGCGGCAGCTTCCGAGGCTTCTGGCGAAGAAGGGAACTCTGTGGCCGTGTGCCTGTTCGACCCAGAGGCTTCGTCGAATCCTCTGCCAGTGGAGGGTTTAGGGTTTAGGGTCGAATCCTCTGCCAGGATCTAGATCGGGCTTATACGGTTCAGGGCTTTGGGTTTGATGGTGATCTCTGTTGCGTCGTGTCAGAGCGTGATTTTGGGATCTTGTTTCAATCGACTTATGTAAAGAGTCCAGGGTCGCTTCTCGTTTGCCCCTGAATGCAGGTCATTAAGGGTGTTATACATACTAGTCAGGCACTATACTGGGATGTCGTTTATGTTGAAACTTTCTGGTCGAGCGTTCTTGATTGCTCGGGAGTGCAGAGTTTGGGATGTAGATCAAGAACAAGAATCCCTGGCGAGATATCCTACAGGCCAGACGAAACCGGATGGTGAATGCACTTTTCGACGTTGAATAGGTCGTGAGGCTAAGCCTATACGGGCCTCCAACTCAGAAGCCCAGATGCTCTAATACCACGTTAATTAAGGATCCGCTGAGAAGGAGGCGTAGTATGTTTGTTTTCAGCATGTACCATGAATGGACTGTGCCCTGTCCGTCAGGGGTCAGAACTGCCCTATACTCTAGAAGCCTCAAGCGAATAGAAATCCTGAGCCCCAAACTAGAGAATCCCATCACCTGATGAAACCCGACCAAGACTGCGGAGAGCCTTCAAAGGGCCGTTAACCCCTTGAAAGCCCTATAGACCTTTGATACAACCCTGGAGCCATGCGACGGTTGGCTGAGCCCTTGGCAACAGGAGGTGTCTTGGAGAATAGAGGCCTAAGCACATCTGCGAAAAGTTAATAAATGCTGTGGGAGACCAAAGGCCAATTCTGGGCCTTGTTTCTTCTTGGATTCTCGTGCTCAAGACTTGCAAGCCTAACGTCTATGCCTTCTGTCTGGGCCCCCCCCCCTCGGCAGTCACGGCCCAAACCCGATACCTCTTAAAAGCGCCCAGAGACTTATCATTCCATAAACTTTGGAAAAATCCTGAAATTTAGACCCGAATTATAAAGCCAAGAACCCCCCTCCCCCCGGCAGTCGCGGGACTTATAATTCCATAAACCCTGAACCCTGGACCCTATAACTACAAAGGCCGAAACCCACAAACCTCGAAACCTGTAAAGCCCAAGCCGCCAAACTTTACAAGTCTGAGTCGGACCCAAAAGAAACCTTTAACGCCCAAACCCCAGACCAAAACTCTGAGACCCTAAACCCTACCTATAAACTACCGAACCCTACTTTTTTGTAGGTTCTTATTATAATCCCTAATATGTAATTTACGGGGACCATACAAAAACAAGTAGGTTGTGGTAGGTTATGGTAACCCCTAAACCCCTAAACGCGCCAGCGCCATGTCCCTTCGGCTTTGGTCCGTCGCTGCCGCCGAGTTCACCGTGCGCCATGCTCTGGGCTCCGATGGTGAGGCTCGGTGCTCGAAACCTGAAGGACCCCTTTCAATACATGTAATTATACATTTTTACACACATATGTTTATTCATTTACGTTTTTCCCTATTAAATAAAAACATATATACGACTATCTATATATATATATATATATATGTACATATGTATATAAATATATACATGTGTGTGTGTTTATACATGTGATTACACTCATAACTATTGCGGGCCCTTGTTACAATTTTTATGACGCTATAAGGTATCCCCAAGGCCCTATTCCACCGATTAAGGCTTCCTAATTCTCTCCCAGGGTTCTTTTCAGATGACACCATTAGGTTTCTTGTCGGCCAGAACCTGGTTTCCTGTATCATAAACTTTGACCTGTAGCAGGCTTTTGATCACTTTGGGGGCCTACGGGGCTTGTAACGGCCTGACGCCCTCATCGTTCAAGCAAATTTCGCAAGCGCCTGCCATCAAACGTAGTGGTCCTGGTGAAGCCAAAGGGCATAGCAGCCTCGAAGCGACCAAACTTGAAGAGTTGTCTCCGAGATTCTCCACGGCTCAGAATTTAGGGGCCCCCAATAATTGGAGGTACTCTGCACTACCGCTGTTACGTTTAAGGCTGCTGTCTTTACCCGATTGCGGCAATGTTCGAGTAAACCTCAGGCTACAGACATGCTTTCTCGGTCTGCGCAGTTTGAGGCCGTGTCCAAAGTAACAAACCTAGTCCTGAGAATCCAGAAGGGGTTCAGGGGTGACTGTAAGAGACCTGGCGTAAGGAGGTCTGTATCGCTCCATCTTTTTAAATGCTACCGTCCACCTTATTCGTACCCCGTGTCGTTCGTGCGCATGTCGGACTAATCGAAACATGTCAGGCGAACCTGTCTGATGGGGCTCAGCACCTCTGTTGGTTTCTAGCGCCTCCCAGGTTGATAAACAAAAGCAGTTTCAGGCTTTCGGGCTTGGGCTCGGAGCAGTCCAATGACCCGCCTTGCTCCAGAACCGTATAGTTCCCTTCAAGGGGGACTCTATTTATTTCAGGACCTTACCTATAGTCTCCATTGTAGTTCTTTTTTTTGGTTTTAACCAATTATGGACTATAAGGATTTTATAAGGGATCCCCATGGATTAAGGATTTTATAGGGGGATCCCCAAAAAGGAACTACAATGGAGATTAGAGGTATAGTACCCTTTAAGGGGACTATAGACCCTGAACCCCCAAAGGCGACACCCTTGATGTACGCTGCCAAGCACGGCTATGTGGAGGCGGTTCAGGCGCTCGTGGAGAACCGGGATCCTTAGGCCTACATCAGCATAGGGTTTGCGGATTGGGCTTCAGTCAGCCTTTTTTTTGGGCCGGTTTAGGGTAAGGGGCTTTAGGGGTTGGAAAAGGTTTGAAAAGATTCCTCCGAGATAATCCACATCTAAAAATCAGTAAGTATCGTCGACTGAGTATTCTCGGACACGGTCTAGAAGATTTCTAGTACATGCAATGTACTTGCGAATCTTCTGCTAATTCTGCAGGCCCCTGTCAACACTACCAACATTTGGTTGGGCCATGGTACAATGATTCCCCGTTCGGTATAGTGACCTGCGCCCGTAAACCCGAACGCCCGAACTCCTAATTTTCTAGAACCCTAGTGTGCAAACAGCTAAGCATGTCAGTGCTAACCCGAAATGCGAAATGCAAGCGCCTTTAACCACCAACCCCTTATTAGACGTAAACTCCAAAAACGCTTCTCAAAGGCTCTCCCGGCTGCCCATCTTCAACATACCCATATGCAGACCTTGTGCCAGCCTTATTGTACCCTAGGGCTTCTGGGATATCGTGGGACTGAGGCCCCGCTGGAGCAAGAGGATGACGATGGCTTCACAGCACTGATGTGGGCCGCGAGATTCGGGCATCCGCAGGCCGAATTCGGCGTAAGAAGGGATACTTTGTAGTTTTAGGGTTTAGGGCTTAGGGGGGCTATCCTAAGTACTTTGGAATGGTTCCAACAGCCTCCGAAGTTTTCGTTTCGAGCCCTCATGTGTCCACCGTACTTAGCCTTTGGACCCTCACTGGAGTCGGGAAGTCTCGAGTAAGACTGCTTGGAAGGCGGCCTGCGGGGATAGCCTTGGAACCGTTGTGTCTTGTTGTTGCAACATTTCGTTGAATTAGAGTTTGTTCTGGTGTTTGTTATTGGCGGTTCTTACTACCGCTGGGTGCTCAGAACAAGGACCCTTTGCCACCAGCACATGGGTTGTACAATGAATCGAAACGGGCTGCGCTCAGCATGTTTTCGCACATCTGGCATACTAAAAGTCTGCAGTTTCCAAACGTGTGTGTATATATATATATATAGTAAATGACTCAACCGTAAGCCTACCCATAGGCCCCATAGGAGTTCCTTTTGGGGGTTCATATGTAGAATCCTATAAGGTGATCCCAAGAAGGAACTACTATGGGGCCTATGGGTAAGCCTAAACCCTCAACCCGAAAAGTTGTTTGAGGTGGTCGAGACCCTTTTGGAGCATGGTGCCAGGATGGAGGCCCAGAGCCCAAGTGGGTGGACTTCACTAAGCTTCTCAGTAGCTGAGTGAACAAACTTTACACTTTTTTGGGAAAACTTTACCTAGTATAAAACTGAGAGTGTACACTTTTCAACTGGTTTTATGAACTCAGCAACTAAGGCTTGGGTGTTTCTTTCGATCATCCAGAGGTAGTCCATGCACTCCTAAGGGCACATCCCCTCCATGACCCCTGGGCTTTAGACCCCCACACCGGCGCCCCTCTCTGGACGGAGATCAGCAACGAGACTCTTCGTGGCTGCTTAGTTCTCCAATACCCAACCTTAAAACTTTTTGGGTGTTTATAATTTAGTAGCAATCCGAAAGTTTAACCTTCTATTTTCCTGGCTTATTCGGGAAGTAAGGCTGGTGGCAGGCGCAGATGAGCGTCTCGAGCCTGGCCATGCAGAGCGCCCAGTGCTGGGAGACCTACGCCGCGCTTTGCGGCGGCATTCTTGGAGCGATGGCTCTCGTGGCGGCCCAGGGTGGTATCGACAAGTCACTGTGGCATCGGGGAGTGTACCGCCCTCTCCATGACCCCCACTCCATGGCTATGGAAGACTTCCGGCAAGGAGCCCGGCTAATTGTGGCCAAAGCGATTCAACCGAAAGTCCAGGGGGCCATGCTCAAGTTCTACCGGCTCCTGGAAGTCTGCAGCAATGTCGTATTCGTCTTCGGCACGATGATGCTGCAGAAGTGGTGGGTCTTCTTTCTACCTGTGACTTTCGTGTCCTTCCTCGGCCCTGCTGTCTTCCAGTGGCCCTTAGCCAAGCTCAGCCGCAGCCCTGCATTGGCCATCGCTGCGACTTGATGGGAAGTCGGATGTAAGTCGTTTTCATCAAGAGGTGGTGCGGGAATTCAAATGTCGTTGAACCCAAATCAAAGTCCTTCTTTTCGGGTGGTTACAAAAGTCAAACCGACATGAAATCCAACCATAGGTTTCTAGCACGTTTTAGCTGACTGGGTGTTCCACGATCTGCGATAGTCCAAAAAGGTCAACCCGAATCATACCAAGCTGGACACACTTGGGGCAAGCGAGTTTAAGCCCTAAACCCTAAAGTATGGGAGCTTAGCCCGAAACCGTAACCCCCAATTCCTGAAGCCCAAGCCCAAACGGTCCAAGCACCAATATGGTAGGTACCTCGCAGATATATGGGCCCCAAGATTATGCTACACTAGTACTTGGACCCTTTGGGAAGGTACTCTAATCCCCAATTCCTAAACCCTAAGCCCAAACGGTCCAAGCACCAATATGGTAGGTACCTCGTAGATGTATGGGCCCCAAAAGATTATGCTACACTAGTACTTGGACCCTTTGGGAAGGTACTCTAATCCCCAATTCCTGAACCCTAAACTGCCCTAAACCTTAAACCCTAAACCCTAAACCCCAAGGTAAGGGGCCCAAGCGGCGCCCTGATTGCCCTCGTCCGACTGGGAACCCTGCTGGCGCTTTGGGTCTGCAACTGGGCTCCTATGAACCCCCTCCTTGGGCAGCTGGGCTCAATGGGTTTATTAGGGTTTGGGGGTTGAAGTTGTTTAATTTGTATCGTGCTTGGTGACCACGAAAGAATTTTAGTTACATGAGCATCTTCAGCAGGATATGGCCACTGAACACCTTGCGTCTAGAGCCGACTGAAGCCTGTCCCCAAATGGACTTGATGCTGAACGCTTCTTGAGCCCTAAACCCAAAGGCCTAAACCCCTAAAGCCCGCCACAAGGCTCTAGACTCTAGACTTCATCCTGCAATGCTGAAGCCCCACAAAACCCTATGTGTGCGAAATCTTAATGACCTCACGTCTCAAAATCCGAAAACCCATCAGACAAAAAGGAAACCTGAACTGGACAACCCTGAGCCCCTAACCCTTGATGCCTGGAGTGTCCGAGTAAGAGTGCCGAAGCCCTAGATGCAGGCAAGTCATGTTGAAGTGGAGCTCGGCGTGGGCTCAGCAATCCCTGCTTGAAGAGTTTCCTGTCGACGAGCAGAACTTGACTGGTGTACAGGAGCTCCTTGCTGAAGCTCCCATACCCTAAGGGTCCATGTACCTACATAGTAGAACATTGGCCCTAAAGTACCCATCCAGGGATTACATTAAGGCCAAAGTATATACTATTTGGGTACATGGACCCTTAGGGATAAGAAGGAAACACGAATTCCAACGGTAAGACTTTAATTCGGACAGCACGAGTACCTTACTGGGATGCTTCATAAGGAGTATTCTGAGGGTACCTCTTGGTCATCCTAGGAGAGTGGCAAGGCAGGTAGTAGTTTTTCGCTACTTATTAGGGTCTAGGTAGTTTAGGCTTTAGGGTTAAGGTTTTGGCGAGAGGGCTCTGTAATCTAGAAATTTGCTGTTGGCGGTTCGGTTCTGGAAAGTTTGGAGTTTGTCCGCTAGAGCCACAAGCACACCCACCATCACCCTGAACCCTATGTATTTTAACCCTAAACCCGAAATTCCTAAATCCCCAACCCGCGACTCCTAAATCCTGAACCCCACCACTGCTTGCAACCCGGTTCACCGCAAGGACGACCTCTCCTCCCTGCATCTCAACGTCACGGCCGCGCGCACGGCGCGACTTTAGCGATCCTGGGAAGGCGCAGATGAGATGGGTTTAGGGTTTAGGATTTGGCTGGGGTGCAGGATGTGGGGTTGGGGGGGGTGAGGATTGGGATTTTGGGTTCCCTGCCTCTCCGTAGGATCCAAGGACCGGTGCCCCTCTAAGCCGTCGAGTAGGTTCAGATTCAGGACTCATGACGGTGCACTGCGCTGTAGGCAGTACTTCCCGAGCCCTCGAAAGTAAGAGACAGAGCTAGAGAGCAAAGAGAAAGACTTTGGACGCCAAACTCTAAGCTCCTCGAACCCTAAACCCTAAACTCTAAACCCTAAACTTTGCTTAGTAGGAGGCAAAAAAACCCTAAACCCTAAACCCTATAAGCTCCGCGAGATGGGGTGAGAAAAAAAATCCGGTAACCTCTGAGCCCGAGTCCGAGCCCTTGCAGAAGGCTGGACCTGGATTTTATCATGAAGTCCTTCCTCTTTGTCACCGGTGCCCTCCTGGCCGCCTACGTGTCATCGCTCATCTGTCAGCTGATGTACACCGCCCGAGAGCAGATCGCTCCCTCAGAGGCGTCGATTTCCGGTGGCTTGGGTTTTTTCGGGTTTTGGGTTTAGGGTTTAGGGCTTAGGTTTCCTTGTAGGGTGGAGTTGTAGAAATTGTAGGTAGGGCTTATGGGGTTCACGGCTTGGGGCTGCTCGTAGGGGCTTTACAGTGTTAGGGTAGTGGGCCTCGTGGTTTAGGGTTTAGGGGTGTGCCACCCCCATTTTGAAATTCTTCGCCTGGACTTAGACCCTAAACCCTATAAACCCTTAGACTAGAAGGCCTCATTTCGATGGTTCGCAGAAGCCGCGAACCGCTGCAGCCCATATTCCCGATGCCCCACACATTGACTTCGAATCCTCAACTTCCACCTTGTTGTAGAACCCTAAACCCCTAAACCCCTAACCCCTAAACCCCTAAACCCTAAACCCCATAATTTCTGAAAGCTCCTAAATGCTCAGACCGAAGTACAGCTAGGCTAGGCGTCTTCTTGAGGGATCGCGAAGTGTTCGGAACCCTGACGCATCCTTTGGCCGAGAGCTGCCTTGGTTGAGACCGAAGCTGTACTAAGCAACTTGCAAGGATCTTGGCAGGGATGTTTGGGGTTATGCAAGAGGTCCCGGTTTTCGACCCCAAGACCGCTTAATTGAAGAGCATCGTAGAATAAGACACTGAATGGTCGTACCAGCTTTGGTTGCCTCAAGACCTCGGGGGGTGGACATCCTGGCGCGGCCACACCACAACACTGAATGAAACGCGAATAGCTCCTTACGTGCGGAGTATTGGGCTCTCTGGACACTCCGAGCAGTGGTGGTTAGACTTAGACCTGCATAGGGGTCAGAAATGGCAGAGTGGGCATCGGATCTGCAGGGTGTTTGAGATAGAGCTTCTTTATACGTATATGTCTTAAAAGGCTCAAATTTTATGCTACAGTTACAGAGTAGCATTTAGGGGTAGAAACAGTTGTTGATTTTTAGATGCTTGTTTCTCATTGTTCTTGCCTGCCAAGGCTTTGCTGGTGTTGCTTTTGTGACAGTTCTTGCTGCCCCTTTGTTTACGCCATACGTCCCAACACCAGAACACTGGGTGCAGTGGTAGTAGTCCCTGTCAGAGTCCTTGTCGATGTTGTTTACTCACCCAGCCCGACAGTGCTGCTTAAGCCCCCAAACCACAGACCGAAACCGTGATCCAGCTTGATGCTCTAGCAGCTACTAGCACCCGGCTCCAAGGCATGGTGGTGAGGTCACTTGAGCAAGCTTTAGCATGATGGTTTAGGGTTTAGGAAGGTGTAGTGTTAGATAGGGTGTATATACACCAAAAGCAGTATCCGTCTGTTTATATCTGGTTTTGCCGGGGGACACTCTGTCGGAGGCCGACGAGCCCACTTCCCCAGAGGAAGACCGTGAGCTGATCCGAAGGGTTCTACTATCGGCGCCCGAGAGCGCCCTGGTAGAACTCCGGAGGTTGGCTGGGGGTGCTGTAAAGGGCTTCCGTAAGGTTTCAAAAAGGTGTCAGGGTATGGGGGTGTCCGCCTCTTTTTCAGGGTCCGAGTTGTAGGATCCCGATTCTAGCCCCTATGAAGGAGAGGTGGGATGAGCAATCAGGAAATTGGTGAAAGGAACTCAGCAGCTAGGGTTACATTACGACAGAACACACAGCCACCGGTGCCCAAACACAGTTCTTAGTTCTTCCTGAGTTTGTGCTTTTTTTAGCGTGACCCTAAACCCTAACATCCTTACGTTCAGGCTTCGCAGGTTGTAGACTTGAGGGTGGTGCCTTTGATTGGTCTGTCTATCTCAACCCCAAACTCAATCAAGAGTTTCACCCAGCAGACCTCAAGCCACATGCCTCGCCAGGCTTCTTCCCAGTTGCGAGTGCTAAGACCCTTCAGTTCAGGTCTGTGGGTTCGGAGCCTAAAGTTTTCTTATCCGGGCCTTAGAGGTTCGATGCTGTTCGCAGCTGGGACTCCTTATAGTAGATTTGAAATAGTTGCTCGGAAGTTTGAAACCCTAAACCCTGAACCACGTTATGGTGCACCTGTTCCTGTTTTAGTGAGAAAGGGTCTGGGTTCCTTCGGCTATCGAGACGGCAGGGAAACTGGTATGCTGTCTTTTGTTCAGATGCGTTCTGGATGCTTGAGAGCCCTCCTCGTGTCGATAAGCACAATTTGCGCAGTCAAGTGTGTTCTGGGAGCAAGGTAGGTACTCCTTCAGATAGGCGGTTGCAACAGGAAAGTATCTTGATACGCAAAGCAGCAGTGCCTAGACCGGTTAGCCAGTGGCGAGGTGATGGTTGGCCGCTTGAGCTGGCACCAGAGGCAGTTGATGGGTCTGCTCAGCCATGACCCTTGTGAAAGGATCGAATAATTATTGCTGACGGTTTATATGTTACTAGTATGGCCAGCCGGCCATCCGCAAGCTCGCCTTGGGAGTTTGAGCTAAAATCCGAGACTCCGTCGGCATAGAGGCCAAGCAGCGAAAGAGCACCTAGCGGGCCCAAGCCCATCCTCGGGCAGCTTAGAACGTAAGATTTAATATTGAGGGCACATGGGATTGGGTAAGGATAATCGGGGGCTTGGGGCGGCCGTCTCGTTGCGGAGCCCCTGCCCACCCTCCAGCCCGACACGCGTTAATCCTTGCAGGACAGCCTCTGGACCCTCAATCAAATTCTACACTCTAGGCCCTAAGCCCTTATGTGAAGCCTTGCCTGGCATGCGCGAGAGTGAGAGTCGGAATCCTGATCTCACGACATAAATTCCAACGACAGACAGGCGATGCAGGGATGATCGTGTTTTCTTTTTGACGGGGTCTTTCCCATACCTGAATGATTCGTCCTAATCGTCTCAGCTCAGAATACGTGTAATTCCTTTATCTAAAAATTCCGCATGTTGGTCCAGGAGGCCTGCACCATGAGCATGGACAGCATCTATGCGAGGCCGGGGACCCGCCTACGGTTACGGCATACCCTAAACCCTAAACCCTAAACCTGCCGCACTCTAACGGGATCCCAACCTATGCGAGGACCCTTCGAGCTTCCAAGTCAAATACCTATGTGGGGGTTTCCGAAAAATTCCGAAAATAGGGGACCCTAAGACAGTACCCTAAATAGTAGGATCCCTATTATAGGACCCCAAAAGAAGGTACCCCTTACTTTCGGAAACTCCCATGTGCTTCATAGGATGTTGCTTCTTGAGCCCTATTTTATCATGCCCATAACCACCTAAGCAGCTGCAGAGGTTTCTGGGCGTCTTAGGAAACCTACTGCATGGCCATCCCTCGTACGGAGCCCTAATTAAACCTAACTTGAAGTCCCAACCCCCAGAAAGCCCTTCAACTGCATGAATCTGTATAGCTCCTATGTTGCAGAAGGGGCTTAAATTTGTAAAGAAAGTAACCTCGATCAAACCGGGAAGGATGTCGTTGTACATCATGGACATGCTTCTTGATGCCTGGCCGGCCAGCAAGGGTTCAGTGTGGGATTTAAAGGATTTTGTGGCTTGGTGTTTGGGGTTTGGGGTATAGGGTGGGACCAAAACAGCTTATGTGTATAGGCAGTTTAAGAGTAGAGAGTGACCTTGACATGCCAGGCGAAAGGCAGTTTAAGAGTACAGGTTGGCCGTGAAATGCCAGGCTCATATTGAAGACTCACATAACCGTTCGACTCGTTCTGTACGTCTGCACGTGGAAATGTTCGTGTAATTTTGAGGTTGTGATGGCGGTTTCTTCCCTTTTATGGCTGGGGGGGCGACGTCATGTTCGGGTGCCCCTTACTTCCTCGGTCTGTGTCGTGCGAGAATCTAAGGACTTTAGGAGGGACCCCTATTAGGGACCCTTTATCCCATTACCTTAAATAACCATGGTATAGTCCTTTTTCTAGCCAGGTAGTCTCCATATTAACCCCAATTCAATAACCTACAAGGGTCCCTATTAAGGGTCCCTCCTAAAGCCCTTAGATAGAAGACTTGACTGAGGTGTGTGCACAATAAGTACAAGCCCACCCCAAAAAGTCGAACCGCCTGACATCTTCAAACCAAAAAAGCCCTGGCATGCGTTCGGGGAGCCCTATTTAGGCCCTTTATTGTTCTGAGCTTAAGGGGCCCTTTTGGGCACTTTAAAGGACTTAAGACATGAGTGTCAGGAGCCCCGACAGGCTCCATTTATGGAGTTTGAGGAGCCTTGTAGTTGTAGGGTTTAGGGGGGTAGGGGGGTTTAGGGTTTAGGGTTTAGTACTTGTAGGCCCTGAACTGCATGGGGCTTCATGGTGCGGGGGTGCTGAGGACATGAACACCATCCTTACCCTTGTCGCCTCGCGAAACTTCAAGCCCCTTAGCATTTTGAACCAGTCTTGTTAGGGTTTAGGGATTGGGGGTTTAGGGTTTAGGGGTGGAGGGTTTAGGCGCTGTCTTGTGGAGTTTCTCGGCTGCTTGCAAGAGTCCTGGATGCAAAAGGGTTTAGGGGTTAGGGGTTTGGGGCTTGTTGTTTCGG